CAATCCATCTCTTTCTACGCATACTTTTTGGTTAAAGCACTGGTGTGCAAGATATCATTACTACATGTTCTTTCACAGGGAATAAGAAAAATTATACAAAGGTTAGAGGTAACTGTTTATAAACGTTTGTTCTCCCTCAGGTGCTGGTGCCAGCGATGTTCTCATGGCAGTTCTCGACGAACGGCGCGACGCCTCCGGGCGCGGTGGAAGCTGGCGTCACCGCTGAAGGAGAGAAGTTATACTTCGGCAGAGTCACGCACGACGGCTGCACCACTCCTGGAAAGGTAAAGGCTGCTGAAAATACACATGCTTCAAACAGCCAGAAGTTGATGCTGACTGTACATGAACTGTATTTTGCATACTTATTTTGGGGAATAAACAGTATGTTGTTTAAAATAAAGAGAAAACCTAAGGAAGCTGTAAGCTGAAGATTCTCTATCCGCTCTTCGAAAGAGAAATACTGAGAATGTAGGATGTAAGACGGTACTTGACGCTGAGCGCCTGTCCTTTAAAAATTGCAATAAAAGTGTTTGAGACATTTGTTATTTTTTCCAGATTCATCCAAGCCATGGCGTTTGTTACTATCCTTTCGATGGCGAAGAGAGAAGCAGCGCGGAGTACGAGTGCCTGGTCCTCATGTAGACCTCATAGATCTCTCATACACCTCGTGAAGACCACGTCGTGTACCTCATGAAGACAATAAAGAACTAAACGTGGTCATTTAATTTAGAACCTAGCTGCAAGGTGCTATAACGTAATATAGAAGAATAATTTATTTTAGACTTCTTTTAAAAACCAAACATTACATCATATTACTAAAGCAGTGTTTACGAATTTTCTTATAATTAGAAAAAAAGATTCAAATTAAATTAATATATTAATTTTTACTTTAAAGTGTTTTTTTTCTTAATTTACTTAATTTTCAATTCTAAAGTCCTTTGTTCCTAGAATTAAATTTATGCAAGTTACTTAAAACTGTCTATACGTTATCAAAGTACTTTGTGAGAAAAGAAAAGTCGACAAAAAGTTGCCGAATCTTTAAAATTTACAGCGCCTTGTGAATTTTTGCAGCAAATTTTCTTAAACCAAAAATTTTTTGGTGAAACTTTCTTGTGAAGATTTTATTATACGTAATTGAAAATATTAAGATAGGGTTACTGAATTATTTACATATGTTACTGCGGATTTAAGGTGAGGAAGGAGGAGATTGATAATGCATTTGTAATTGCGGATATCTGTGGGTAGCGGTCGCATTGCTTTTTGACGAATTTAAGTAGGGGCTATCTCTTTGACCACCTTATGATATAAAAAAATGTAGTTCAAGGTTCTATTCCAGAAATATAGATCTTATCGTCCACTATATAAAACCATGTTCTCTTATCAACTATCAATGCCTCTTATCAATCTTACCAATATAAATGGGAAACTATACGATGGATGCTTGTTAGAGTCTGTAGCCTAAACTGTTGAACAGATCTCGATGAAATTTAGCATAGATGTAGAGAATAGTCTGGAAGAAAACATAGGTTAGGTTACTTGCTTTTGTTTTGTTTTTTATTTTAATTCCACGAGGACAGAATAATTGCCGAAAGCAAGCCGTTGTATAAAACATGTTGCTCGCGACTTCGTCTACGTTTAATTCAAAAATATAGCCTATGTTCCGCATGACGTAGCTTTTTAATGGTGAAAGAATTTTTGAAATCGGCCCAGTAGTTTTTGAGTTATTTCAATACATTCTTAAATACAAATCTTACCTCTTTATAATATTAGTATAGATGTTTCAATCCAATATTATTATAAATGCCGGTGTTGCAGCAAGGTTATGTATTTGTTTATAAAGTTTTCTGCGATCATTGTAATCGTCGGTTGAATCATTCACGGGTCATTCCCATGCCGATAATCGAACAGGACGCATGTCTTGTGTTGACGTTTGCTTAACGTTTAGATATCACATAAGTCATTGTGCGAACAAAGTGGGAAACAATGGAATCGTCTTTCTTCTTAATATTGTTCTGTGAGTATTTGTTTTTTAATTTATCAATGACATAGTTTTATAATCATACTAATATTATAAATGCGAAAGTTTTATTGGATGGATGTTTGTTAGAGTTTGTAGCCTAAACGGCTCAACGGATTTCAATGAAATTTGGTATAAACGTAGAGGATAGTCTGGAAGAACACATAAGCTACTCACTTTAGTTATTATCTAATACCACGCGGAGTCGCAGGCGAAAGCTAGTCTGTCATATGTTTATACTCTATTAGTTCAGTTGCGCAAACGTTTTTCAAGTTAAACTAACCATTAATTTGCAACTTGTTATATTTTTAATTGTTTTAGGAAATAAAATACTTAAATATGCTGAATTCCAAGAAATTAACGCGCCAATGTCTAATTGGTTTAAGATATAGAATGCAAAATATGACAGTTGGTGTCGTTTTGTAATTTACTTCGAATTTTAAAAAATATTTCAGTAAACATAATACTATATTTTATAAGACCAGTTCTGTTTTATGCTAACATATGCTTTGACTAACACATGTACAATAATTTTAGCAACGCTTCCCAGACTGGAACCATGTGTTTCCCATTAGCCTAACAATGAACCTATGTCCTAAGTACAAAGTTTGATGTCTCGGGTATTTCCCGTCTGTAATAACAGAACTTTACCATACTATTATAGAACATATTGAAGTTTATAGGACTATGGTATATATTGATTTTTTGTATCTACCGAAAATGGTATTATCTAGCTGTTGCTCGCGACTTCGTCCTCGTAAAATGAATAAATAACAAAGATATAGCCTATGTTACTCAGCTTTTCAATAGTTAAAGAAATTGATTGACGTCGGCCGCGTTTTTGAATTAAATGACTCAAAAATAAATTTCAAAAACTTTAAATAAATACATAGAAAAATACAAATCTTTTCCCTTTATAATATTCGTATAAGCTATATAGCTATAATTTTTTAGTTTTTAATTAAATAAATATTTCTTAGTTTATTTTCCCAAATTATTTTTCTTATTCCCAAATTATTTCTCCAAAATAGAATATTTGATCAACCGCAAAAATTAAATTAAAACTCTAAGGGCCTCTCCCACCAAATTGTAAATTCTCTGATAACGTGTAAAACATGTGATGGTAATATCGGATTTTGTTACTTCATCAGTGACGTAATTTTTAAGCTATCTGAGCCTGTATCAGCCAGTGGTGGGACAGGCCCTTAGGTATATAAAACCTCGTGAACCAACCCTAAGGGTAACAAGTGACTAATGTTCAGTATAGAAAGAATACATTGTAAAATACTGTATTGCATGTTAATTTTCACTTAGTAATGACAGAATTAGCTTCAAGCGACATTGATAATTATTCAAATTAACTTGTACTGAAATAACATTTTTACCGGTTTGAGGGTAATAAAACTAAGTTATTGTAGTTTTGCTTTATTAATGAAAACAAAAATGTCTTTATTGATGAACCACAAACCGCAGTGTCAAGTTAGAAGGTTGTATGTAATGCCATATCTGAATTGCTTGATCTCAAGATCATTACATTGTTTGATGGAAGTTTAGTTATAAAACTGCATTTGTGCAACAGAGAAGAGCTTATGGTATCATATTTTAATATTATAAATGCGAAAGTATAGATGGATATCCATCCATTGGATGGATGTTTGTTAGGGTCTGTAGCCTAAACGTCTAAACTGATTTCGATAAAATTTGCTATAGATGTAGAGGATAGCCTGGAAGAACACATAGGCTACTCACTGCTTTTATTTAATTATACGCGGACGGAGTCGCGCGCAATAGCTAGTTACTAATATTATAGATGCAAAAGTTTAGATGGATGGATGTTTGTTAGAGTTTGTAAGCTAAACTGCTTAATAGATCTAGATGTAATTTAGCATAGAAGTAGATGATAGTCTGACAGTACACTTAGGATATAATTTTATTTTTTTTATATTCACTCTGACGGAGTCGCGGGATAGTATTAGAATAATTCGAAAGTGTTTCATTTCCTAGACTTCTATTTTACCTGGAATTCATCATAGAGCCAACAGGCTAACAGAATTACTCTTGACTATTGTTTGTATTATATGATTTTTTTCCTCTAGTTGCCGGGACAGCACTCACAGATATGCGCAATAACTGTAACTTGGCCGGGTTTTACGCCGAGCTGGGCTGCTCGGCGATGTCTGATACCAACAGTACAGATTGCCCGGATGCCTACACCTGTCCTAAATTACATCCAGACCCTAGCGTATGTTATTATAGGTAATGTGATTTACTCAGAAACTTAATGTTGTTGTTTTATTGCCACATCATACTAATATAAATGCCAAAGTTTAGATGAATGGATGTTAGAGTTTGTAGCCTAAACGACTGAACGGATTTCAATGAAATTTGGTATTGACGTAGAGGATAGTGTGGAACACATGGGCTACTTACTTTTGTTTTTTTAATTCCTCGCTGTCGGAGTCTTGGCCGAAAGCCAATACAGCTATAGATACATTTGTTCTCGTATCTATGAACTAAGCTGTTTCCAAGTTTGATTATTAATTAGTGTAGCGTTCGAATTACTTTTATCTAGTTAATAAGTAATAATACGGTTTTTAGAAATCGTTTTGTTGGCATTAGTACCTAATAAAAATGTTATTAATAAACTCATAGTTACATTTGAATTATACATCTGACTGAAAACCAAGTTTGTCGTTAAATTCTATTGTTTTTTAAATATCTCCGGATATCATGAGTTTTTCAATTTGAATCAATGTCGAATTGCATTTTAAATGGCCGTTATAAAATGTATATTGCCAAATATGTAACACGAAGGTCATCGACCTTGTGTTCGATTTTTAAAAGGCGCAAGATTTTCGTCATCCGTGCGTCGAATGCAACGGACAAAAAGATGGTCACAATCACAATTGACCTTTGTAAGTTTTTTCGGAAATACCACGACCTTACATTGCTTACTTTGGTGACTGACTGTATACAAGCTTGAGTAATAAAAACGTAAAGCAACAATAGTTATTTCTTCCTTAAAGTTATGGATGACTGATGTTTATCGTTGTAATAAATTATTTTTTAATCTGAAATCGGAAGGTTATATTACCTAGAACATTATTTCGTAACTAATTTAAAACTTATGACTAATAATTTAAAGGCTATTTTTCCGGTGATGCCACCGACTAGTTTTTTCTATCTATAAAATATAAAAAATACGCGATGTCCTGGATTTTTCCTATTGTTTTCAACTGTTTGTGGTTATCAATTTTATTTAAACTTACTATATTTTAAATCAATTCACTATAACTTTTGTATGTAAATTTCTAAATATTTAAGTTAAAAATATTCTAACTGAATAATATTTAATATGTAATTCCAGAGGTGTCCCATATAAAGACCGTTCGATGATCCCACAGTCAGCTATAAAGAACCCTTGTTCACTCGCCTGTCAGTGCACCGTGTCTGGGAAGCCGAGTTTCGATTGCGCGGCTGTCGACTGTGTTGAGACTTTCGATGCTGACATGCAACAAGAATGTATCAAGACGTATGAATTAGAATCGTGTTGCAGTACGGGAACCGTTTGCGGTAAGAACAAAGATTATAAATGCGTAGATTATGTCTCCTTTAGTAGTTTCCAGTTTTATTTAGTGTCTAATCCCCTTTATCTATCTTTGACGTCAATTAATTATTACGATTATGCATACAAAACATACTATATCTTTCAATACATTTTAGATTTAAGTGGTATTGTCTAGCACTATTTATAGTCAAAATCTACCCTATAACAATAAGCAACCCTATAATCAGTTGAGTCTATTTGACAATATTTAAAACTTATACAGACATAGACAGGACATAAAGGAGGTTCCTATAATAATAATTTAATTTCACTTATGTCGGGTCTAATTGGTGTATTATTTCTTAATTATTTTTTTTAAATCGTAAGTTAAACTGGCCATTAATAATGCGTCATGGAATAACAATGTCCTCCTTATTAGCTCGTATCCGTATGATCTATTGTCCACATGTAAATATTTGTCATGATCAGAATTAATTCCGAGGTGACTTCCTGATTTTAATTGCTGATAGGAAGTCCTGTTTTTTATTACCTTCTCTATCTATATAGTGAATAAAATTAAATAGCTTGTGCAGTAGACAAAAACATTCGAAGTGGGAAAGTCCATTCTTTTTTTAAATGTTTGGGTATGAGAAATCAAGTCAAGTAAAAAAAAACAGATTAATGATTACACTTCACTAACCCGTTTCCCCTGTTTGATGACGGAGAGTGTAAATTTAATTGAGATTTTTCTTGTGTCACTACAGCAGTCAATTGTTTTGTTTATTCTTGCTTGTTCCGCAGGCAAAGACGCAGTGGCTGCACTAAAGACGTGCGAAGTAGACGGGAAGACATACAGGGAAGGGGAATCTTTCGAACCAAAGGACAGTCGTAAGACATGCATCTGTACAGCGCAGTGGAACGGTACAATTGAAGACTCGTCGTACTGTCGCGATATTAATTGCGGAATTGAAATACACTACCAAGATAAACTATTTCAGAACTGCGCGCCAATCTTCCTAGGAAGCGATTCTGTTTGTCCTATCGCGTTTACATGTCGTGAGTATTCAATCACTTGTATAATTTTATTAGTAATTCATCCACGTGATATTTAAAATATAGCCTACTAGCTTTCGCTTGCGACTCCGTCCGCATAGAATTAAAAAAAAACAAAAGTTAGACTAGCCTATGTGTTCTTCCAGACTACATCTATACCTAATGTCTTTAAAATCCGTTCAGCCGTTTAGGCTACAAACGCTAACAAACATCCATCTAAACTTTTGCATTTATAATATTAGTATGAAGTATGATGTTACTCAGCGATATCGTTTTCTTATGGGGCAAGAATTTTTGAAATCGGTCCAGTAGTTTTTGAGTTATTTCAATATGTACATAAATACATACTATATCTTATACTCGTATTCTGTTTAATATTTAAGATTTTTGTTATCTATTTCAGCTACAAACTCATCAAAGGTCGTTCGCGGATTGAACTTGCGGGCGGTGAGTTCGGAATGCGTGTTCGGGAATACAACTCTGTCGGTCGGTGACGAGGTAACTGTGGACGAGGAGTGTACTAAATGTACCTGCAGTGTACCACCTTTCGTGTCGTGTACTAGGAAGATTTCCTGTACTGATTAGATGCAAAGTACAAAGAACTTTATATTGTACTTGATTTTGATATGTTAGATTTCTTAGCCCTATATAAGGACTAATGGAACTTAGAAAATGTACGATTTTTTCTTACTTAGATATAGAACATGCTGCTTTATGTCTTAATATTTTGAAGTTTTTGAAATAAAAAAAATATTTTTATTTATAAAAAATGCATTATGCTAAATGCCAATAAATTGAAATTTGATAACTTGATGTTTATGAAACAAAAAAATCATTATAAAGAAGCTAAGAGTGATCTCGAATGTATAAAAAAAAAACGATTCATTGAAATATTTTATTTCACTTGTATTATAAGTACTTAATTATCTACTGAACATATTATATTAGTAATAAATTTAAAACTAGTTTTTATTTACTAATAAGGATAAAATATTAAAAATAGATTAGGGATTACTTACAATTATGTACAAAGCGTATACAGCCTTAAGAGGACTTTTGTAAATAACTTAAACCCTACATTTTGTGACGACTTAGTTTTACACTTAAGTACTTAAGATAAAAAAATAAATGCAATATAAAAATAAAGTATATCTTTAATGCTAACGATTATATACGAACTTACGATTTATAAACTTTCTTACTTAGGAACAATAAAATATTTGGCAGTAATTCCTTAATTAATTTTAACCTAAATATAAAACTAATTTTAAAAGTACAAAATTATGAGCAAAATGAATTAAATCATTTGTTAATTTTATATTCAATTATTTTTGGAAAATATTGAGCGCTGTCCGCTTGAGCACTGAGGAAATATCATGTAACGTTACGAATATGTTCTCGAAATTGTCACACAAAAATTCTACGAGATATATTTTGATGTTATGAAAATGTTCGCAATAAGCCCTCTGTTTCTTTTTCTGACAGAATTTTGGCGCAAAAACAACCGTCATGCTGTCAATATTGCCCATTAAAATAAAGATTAAAATCTTTTAGATCGTTTTATTTCTTGTTTCGTAGTTTTGTAAAGTTAACATCGAAAATAATAATTATACTGAATATAGAAATGCATCGATGACGTCACAGAACATTTTTCTTTTTACTGTTCTAACGAATCTAAAGAAAATTTTGAACATAAATTTTGTAGGTTAGGTTTTGTTAAGTTTAACTGAAGCAAGCCAAACCCAGTTCTATGCGGAACTTCTGGTTCTTTCTACCGACATCCCTCACAGCTACATCCAGGAGCGGCAGACGTCCAGCCTTGTCAGTTTCATACTGTAGAACAGTTTCTTCCCATTCTTGTTTCTTATACTGGAAATGAAGATAAGAAATTCGTCATGATGATAAAGGTAACAGAATAAAGCAGAAATGAAATTTTAAAATGTACATTTTAATTGCTGAGAAGGTAAAGGAATTATCGATATCGGAAATATTAGAATAGTTTGAGTTAAGTGTTAATAACCTACATCGCTTGCAGAACAATTAGGGGAAGAAAGCGTAGCGAAGTTGCAATATAAAATAGTTACCTGGCAGTTATCTAACAAAGCTTTGTATCTAAGTCTGTTATTGGCTTTGGGCAGGATCTCAGCGTCGTTGTAAGCGAGGAGTTTGAGCCCGTGTCTGTAGTTGTGCGTCGCTGGATTGTAATACCCAATAGTATTGATGCAGTGCAGTGTCACATTCTGAACAGCGCGCGATGACATCAACTGTAGGTATGTCAGTTGGCTATGCTCCGCTTTATATGATATCTGGAACATGGATACATCATATGCTGGGTGAGATTTTGCACTAATCAAATTATTAGATAGTTTCGAAACACGAATGTTATGTTTATTCAAGACTAGCTATCGACTTGTTGTTCGCGACTTCGTCCACGTAAATTGAGAATTGTAAAAAAATATCCTATGTTACTCAGCGATAAAGTAGCTTTTAAATAATGAAAGAAGTTTTGAAATCGGCTTTATAGTTTTTTAGCTATTGCATTACATACAAAAATTAAAAAATACAAATCTTTCCTCTCTACAATAGTAGTATAGCAACTTACCGTGAATCCATCTTCCACTTCACTGAGCCACGCTTCATGGTCTTTTCCTTTGTATACAATGTCCTGGGACTGCATCGGCTTCGGGAACACGCAACTGGCGCCAGTAGACATATCGCAGTATACTAATATGGCATCGTTCATATCCCCGCCATTTGGATCTATCCAATATTGACCTGAAAAATTATTTTAAACAATTTTTTTTAAATGCTCTTGTAGACAACCTCTATTAAATTACTTATAGAACAAAAACGCTAACTTACCGCTTTGGAATTCAGGGTAGTGATATTTAATATCGCCACAAGTCTTTGCGGGTGCTTCCTTAGTGCCGTCCGGTTTGAGGAATTTGTTGAGAGACACTTTGAGCTGTTCGTAAGCTTTCATCACTATCTTCTTGCGTTCCGCCGGCGACATATCTTCTTTAAAGAACCGCGGTGGCATGCTATTTGGATCATCTCCCAATGGATCGG